TGGGACTCCAGGATCACACCATGAGCTGAAGGCAGACGCTTAACGGCTGAGCCACCAAGGTGTCCCTAATAACTTTTATTTTCTAAGCATTCTATAACAGTTGACCTTGTGCTAAAATCTAGGTGCTTTGATTTTTCCAGAGAATATTAAGAACATTATATTTTCTCAGAAATAAATCTCCACCCAAAGTAATATTTTTATTAAGATCTCAAGTTTCCTTATTCTTCCATCAAATGAAACTTTTCATCATTTTAATAATAGGTGTCACTTCAAGATGTGGTTTAAGAAGATTGGGGAAAAAACCCTGCTTTCAAGATTATATAGAGAACTAACGAAAAATGACATCTCATGGTTATGTCTTTGTACTTTATAAAACTCAAAATCATAATGCTTTCTTTTTTTTTTAATTTTTATTTATTTATGATAGTCACACAGTGAGAGAGAGAGAGGCAGAGACATAGGCAGAGGGAGAAGCAGGTTCCATGCACCGGGAGCCTGACGTGGGATTCGATCCCGGGTCTCCAGGATCGCGCCCTGGGCCAAAGGCAAGCGCCAAACCGCTGCGCCACCCAGGGATCCCAAAATCATAATGCTTTCAACTAAGAATGATAAATCCCTGTCTTTTCATTCAATATTTTATTTAACAAACACTTACATGGTGTTTACCATGTGCCAGGCATTGTTCCTTGCACTTTACAAGTATTAACCTGTTTATTCCTTTAACAATGCTCTAAGGTAGGTACTATAATTACTCCCATTTACAGATGAGGAAACTGAGGCATGGGAATGTTAAATAACCTGCCCAGGATCATATGGCTAGTAAGTGGCAGAGCACAGATTTGAATCCATGCTAATTTGGCTCCACTACCTTATTCTCTTTTGTTGCCCATGTTTAATAATAATATTGAATAAAATTCCTCTAGAGTCACTTCACTAAAAATATAACTTTTTTCCTTTTTAAATTTTATTATTATTATTATTATTTTTAGAGAGGGGTGGGGGCAAAGAGTGAGAGAAAAAATCTTAAGCAGGCTCCATACCTAGCACAGAACCCAATGCCGGCCTTGATATCATGACCCTGAGATCACAACCCCAGACAAAATCAAGACTTGGCTGCCCAACCAACTGAGCCACTCAGGCACCCCACCCCAAGAATAGTAACTCCTAACACAGAAGTACTTGCCAAAATGTTTATTTTTTAAAATTTTTTTAAAAGATTTTTTATTTATTTATTCAGAGAGAGAGAGAGAGAGAGAGGCAGAGACACAGGCAGAGGGAAAAGCAGGCTCCCTGCAGGGAGCCTGATGTGGGACTGGGTCCTGGGACTGCAGGATCACATCCTAGGTCAAAGGCAGATGCTCAACTGCGGAGCCATTCAGGCATCCCCAAAATTTTGGTTTAAAAGACCTGGCTCCTCTTCTATAAAATTTTAAAATAATTTGATTATAGGTAGATTAGACATAGATGTGAAAAGACACTGCCAACAAGAGGAAAAAAGGAAAAAAATATACTTTTAAAGGTTGAAGGAGAGACATACACATTTTATTTTCCCCTATCCATCTTATTGTCTGATTTACTTTGTACAACATAAATAGGGAAGATGTAAAAAAATGGAACAAGTAGTTTTAGTTGTGACACAACAACAGAGTTACATATTAAAGTTTGGCTTTAGGGGCACTTAGGTGGCTCAGTCGGTAAAATATCTGCTCTCAGTTTAGGTCATGAACTCAGGATCCAGGGATTGAGCCCCATGTTGGACTCTGGGCTCAGCAGAGAATCTGCTTCTTCCTCTGCCCCTCCTCCCTCATATTCTCTCTTGCTCTCAAATAAAGAAAGAAAAATCTTTTAAAAATAATTAAAAAAAATAAAGTTTGGCTTTAAATTTTCTTTGGTATGTTACTTGCTTACCTTTGGTAAGGTTTCAGTTTTTTTCAGGGAAGTTGTTTCATATATTTTATTGCACTGTAAGTTTATTTTTCTTATGTTTGGGCCTGGAAAATATGATCACTGTAACATACTTCGAATCATTTAGGAAAAAAATTAGTTATTTTTGGAACCACAAATTGTGAATGGCTGACTTTTTTTGAGGGGCTATCTCTGTTCTCAAAACCACAATTTTAATAGGCCTTTAGGTCTTTAGTTTTCTCTATTCTTCAAGTGAGACTTACTAAAACTGCATTTCAAAATGTGAGTTTGTTTCTGACTTCTTCTATGATTCTTTTATTGAAAATACATTTTAAAAAGATGACCCGAGCCAAAGGCAGATGCTTAGCTGCCTGAGCCACCCAGGTGCCCTGAAAATGCATTTTCAATGTCCACTTAATTAAGGCAAGTTTCAACCTCTGAGTTACTTTACAGACTCCTGATGAAGTAGATAAACCTGAGGTAGCAGATGAGCGTTCTGCTCAACCTGAGGGTTACTGCATACTTTAGAGTAGGATTTCTCAAAACAAGGTTAGGAACTGTCTACAGCAGAATCAGGTGTGCTACCTCTAAAAAAGGAGATTTCCAGGTTTCCTAAATCAGAATTTCTGAGATTGAGGATTGGGAATCTGCATCTTTAACCAGCATCCTTATAGATTTTTTAAAAAATATTTTTAAGTAAAAATATCAGCTACCCAGGTGCCCCAATTATAACTTTTATATGCACTAGGAAACCAAAAATTTCAATTGACTCACTTTAATGCAGTATTTGCTTTAATACAGTAAGTGGAACTGAACCCCAATATCTCTGAGATATGCCCTGTATATGAATTTGACTGGTTAAGACTTAGAATTAGGCAGATACCTTGTATCCCCCGCCCAACAGCTTGCTCCCATGAGTCCATACCTCTCCAGACACTTGACTTCTTCCAGGTCTGGCCCCTGCTACCTGGTGGCTCACACAGGCACTGTATGCACCTGGGCAGCCTGCCTTGGGAACCCCGAGCCCTCCTGGCCTGTGGAGTCCAACCAGTCCGGAAGCTCTGCCTGGCCTCTAAGGGTGGAGGGAGCACAGCAGCCCAAGTTCTTTCTGAGGAGACAATTTAGACTGCTCACAGGCAGTCCTCATTGGACTGGCTGCCTGAGAGGGTCCATACTAATGAATCAAGGCTCCCAGGTGTCTCTTAGTGAAGGTACCCTGGTAGCCCTCCAGGCCCCATACTGGCAAGGCAGTCCAGATTCCTCCAGTTTTAACTTCAGGGAGAATATGTGCATTTCTGTAGGTTAAGGCTGGAATTAGGAAGATGCCAGATACCTGAAACAGCCTTCTCTTTTGACCCAGCCTACCTCTACACCTGCCCCACTCCAGTTCAGTTACTCTGAACTGCCTGGTGTGCCCATGCGCAAACCACACCTTACCAGCTGGCTTTAGTCTGCAGGGGGCGCTTCAGGTCTGTTCCAGAATGAGCCTACCGGGAGGAGGGAGGCCAACTCACCCCCAAATCCTTCTGAATCTGCAGCTTTAAACTGGCAACAGTCAGCCCCAATTTGGACTAGCTGATTGATGGGGTATCGGCTTCTCCAGCCATCAAGGACATCCTGCACACCACCAACCTGGCAAGTTAGTCCAGATTTCTCCAGCTCTGCCTTTGGAAGAATATGCGCATTTGTGTAGGTTATGGCTTGGATTAGGCAAATGCTTGTACTCCCAAGAACTCCCTCCTGTGACCCTGCATACCCCTATAGATGCCCTGTTCCAGAGCCCTGTCTCCAAAGATGTGTGCAGCCCATGAATGAGGCACACATCTTGTCAGCCCCCAAGGTCAGCCAGGGCACTCCAGGCCTTTGGAGTTTTTAATCAGTCCTGAACCACCTGTACTACTCCCCTGGTGTGGAGGGAACTTACTCCCCAAAACTCTGAGGCAGCAGATTTAAGCTGGTGATGTCAGTCCCCATTTGGAATGGTTGCCTTTTGGAGTCCTGGGTTTACCAGCCATCAAAGCTCTCAGGCTTCTCATATTGGAGGATACCGTGGTGGCCCACCAGGCCACTTCTTGGCAAGGCAGTCCAGACCTTTACAGCTATCTTTAGGGGAATATGAATGTTTTGTGCAAAATTAACTGGAAGGATGAGAAAACCATATGGTTTAAAAACAGGCATATGGGGAACCTGGGTGACTCGGTTAAGCATCTGTCTTCCGCTCAGGTCATGATCCCTGGGTCCTGGGATGGAGCCACGCATTAGGCTTCCTGCCCAGTGGGGAGTCTGTTTCTTCCTCTCCCTCTGCCTCTCCCTCTGCTTGTGCTCTCTCTCTATTGCTGTTTCTCAAATAATAAATAATTAAAAAAATAAAACCAGACATGTACTGAAGGGCAAAATTTGATGACAGCACTATAAAGGAAGGACCAAGTCCTTGAGACATTATGAAGGAAAAATAATATAGGCTAGTAAAAACAGAAAAACCCAGTTAAAGAAATTATTTATCCATGAGCTTTATAAAGGCAGGGTCTATAAATAATTCAGTACTGTATTCCCTATGTCAAATAATGGCACAATGGTAATTAACCTTTCCTTGAGCTAAGATACCCTTTGAAAAATATGGGAGAAACTAGTGACCCTACTTCATTCTAAGAGCAGGCACTTAGCAAATGTTGGTGAGACTAAATTGTATACATAACATTATGTCTTTTTTCCTTTTTTCTTTACTGAATGGCTTGGCTAACTTTCTTAACTTTGATGGACACGCTTATAGACCCTTTTGCAAGAAAAACAAACTCAGGGTTTCCTGTTCAGGGAAAAAAAGACCCATTGCACTTAATTTCCTTTCCTCCCAATGTTTTCCTGCAGTAACACAAAAGATGTTAAAAATAAGAATGAGGGGCACCTGGGTGGCTCAGGTCTGCTCAAGTGTCTGCCTTTGGCTCAGATCACGTGACCTAGGATCCTAGGATTAAGCCCTGCTGATTAGGGAGCCCGCTTCTCCCTCTCCCTCTGCCTCTCCTCCTGCTTGTGCAGTCTCACTCTCTTTCTCTCTCAAATAAATAAATAAAATATTTCTTTAAAAAAGGAATGAAATCATGCTCGCTTCGGCAGCACATATACTAAAATTGGAACGATACAGAGAAGATTAGCATGGCCCCTGCACAAGGATGATACGTAAAAAAGGAATGAAATCATAACAGTGCTGCAGAGAGTGACAGTGGCAGGTCAGGTATTTTGAAAAATTCTTCAAAGATAAGCAGATAAGATTGAACTGATGAAGAAGTCAAAAACAGGGAAATTGTAGTCATACCCACAAGAGATGAATGTGGTTCTTTCTGAGGGAGCCACAGAGGAGGCTGGATCTTTGCTCATCACATAGAGCATTAGGGAACTGTGGAGGACTTGTCAGGATACCTACATAAAAAATGCATTCTCCATCAGCTGCACATCCTACTCCTTCCTCCATATATGGAGTGGCTGCCTCCCAGATAAAATCTTGGAGGAATGCTGTTTGTGGAAAGAGGGTGCTCATTTGGGAGGCCTCCTCGTGTGGCTGCTGTGCCCTGAGGGAGAAACAATAAATGTTGAGATAACTCAGGACTTATCACAGACATGGAGGGAAAACTTTTTAAAGTTAAGGTCATTCCACCCAGGAGATGTATACTCAGAAATAGTCACCCAGCCAAAAGTAAAGACTCTTTACTTATTTATTTTTTTGATATGTCTGTTGGCTGACATGCCACTTTCCTGCCCACAAACACTACTTGGGCGCCTGATGCTGTAACTATCATCCTTACACAGAAATTGAAACCAGGCTTTCTCATTAGAATGACAGCATTCACTTCTGACAATCATTACATTCCTGTCAGACTTTTACCGATACAAACTATAAACTCTGGGAAAAATATAAAATACAACTAATTACAGTATTTGGGAGCAATCAAAAGCAGGCAGATTCTGGGGGAGATTCAGCATTTGGAAAAAGGGAATAGCTGTTAGCTTTTTTTGTTATTGTTTGTTTGTTTGAACAACCTTTAACCTGAGTGTAGGCTAAAGTCTGTGCCATGCAAGGGCAGAGCATGGGGATAGATGGTTAAAATGCAGGAGAACAAAACAAAACATAGTCTTACCAGAGGACAGAGTTTGGGGGCATCCATAGCTCTTAAAAGTGAAAGGGAAATGCCCCCAAAGTGAAAGCCAGAAAGGAGTAATCCCAAGATATTTGTATAAACTCTCCCCAGACTCTATGGCTGACCCCCATAGCTTAACTAATCATATAGAGGGAAGACTCCAAGTAGCCTAATTTAGGTTAAAATAATTGAAGTGATATTTGAGCTGCTGTCCATTGTAGGGGAGACAGTCTGCAGTTTGATTTTAGCTAATTTAACTGACCGCGTAAGAAAAAAAAAATGTTTGTAGAGGAACATGATAGAATCCAGAGTCTCTACAACATATCTACAATGTCTGAGACACAATCCAAAGTTACTCTATATTCAACGAAACAGGAAAACATAACCCATACTTGGGGACAATCAATTAAGACTGACTCAGAGATGATGAAGACGTTGCAATTAGCAAACAAAATTAGAATTCTTTTATTAAGTTTAAAAAAATTTAGGTAGTTAACATACAGTGCAATATTGGTTTCTGGAGTAGAATTCAGTGATTCTGAATTCAACACCCAGGGCTCATCATAATACCTATCACCCATCTAGCCTATCCCCCTCCATCAACCCTGTTTGTTCTTAATTGTTAAGGGTCTCTTATCGCTTGTTTCCCTCTCTCCCTTTTCTCTTTGCCCCCTTCCCATATGTTTATCTATTTTCTTTCTTAAATCCCACATATGAGTGAGATCATATGGTTTGTCTTTCTCTGACTGACTTACTTCACTTAGCATAATACACTCTAACTCCATCTATGTTGTTACAAATGGCAAGATTTCATCCTTTTTGATGTCTAAGTAATATTCCAAGTGAAAGAGACTTTTAATGTAGTTATTCAAGAGGATATTTGTTGGGAAAACAGATATATATGACTAATAGGGAAATCAAGACCAGTCATCCCTACTAATCCACAGACTTCTTCACTTGTGGATTATGATTCATGAAAATCTGAGAAAAAGAGGATGAAAGAGAAAGTCCAAGGTTAATAAATTCAAACATCTGAGCCCAGAGAAAACAGAAATAATTTACGGAGCAGAAGAGAACTTGAAATAATTCCAAGTCAGATTCTTAAAGTTTCATCATAAAATAGGAAGTGGCCATTGTAAAAAAAAGGAAAAATCAATGAATAGGAAACTATTCCTAGAAGAAAAAAAAAAAGAATAATAGATGTGCTGAAGACTAAATTAGTGTTCTGGAAAATAAAATTTCCTAGAATGTAGAGAAATAAAATTAAAAGGTAGAAAAAATGTAATAAAAGTTGAAGGATAGACCCAGGAAATTCAAGTTCAAGAATACGGTTTTCTTTAGTCAAAGACATGTGTAAGCCACATATAATTAGAAAACAAATATCCACACCTACATACATCCTAGTGAAATTTCAGAACTTCATGGATAAAAAGAATATCTTAAAAAGATTTAGAAAAAAAAAAGAAAATAAAAATTTTTTTTTCAGAATAAAAGAACAATTACATTGGATGAGAATGATACCAATCAGACTTCTTATCAGCAGTCCTGTATGTTAAAAGACAACAAAATACTGCATTCACATTCTGGGGCAAAATGATTTTCAACCTGAAAATGTATACCTTGCTGATTGATAGGTAAATGGAGGTCAAAACATACATTGTTGGACATGTCAGAATCAGAAAGCTTAGTGTTCAAGTAGCCTTTAAAAAATTCCTTCAAGAAAATGAAAAAAATACTACAAGAAAGAAGACACCATGTCTTATAATTGTGTGTGAAATTTCAGAAAATCTAAGTGTAAGTATAGCTCATAAAATTCATGCTAGTCTCTAGAAGAACTAAAAGCAGATATTGTTGACAGGATTGCCCCTGATGAATGGAAGTGGGTAGAAAGGCCTTTTACCTTGTATTTTATACCCTTCTGTATTACCTGAATTTATTTTTGTTTTAAATACAATTATTTGTAACAAAGAATTTAATAAAAAATTCAGGGATGTTTGGGTGGCTCAGTCAGTTAAGAATCTGCCTTTGGCTCAGGTCATGATCCCAGGGTCCTGGGATGGAGCCCTGCATCAGCTTCCCTGCTTGGTGGGGAGCCTACTTCTCCCTTCCCCACTCCACTTGCTTGTGCTTTCTCTGTCAAATAAATAAATAAAATCTTTTTAAAAAATGTAATAAAAATTTAAAAGGCATCCATCCCCCAATCTAGCAGTACTTATATTCTAATTGTGTTGTTAGATTCCTTCTTTAGACATTTTAAAGAAGAACTAGTTCATTTAGTATAGTTTGGTTTTGGAAAAAGTCTAGGGTGCTGCTGTTAAGACATATCTGCAAATAAAACATTTCAGAAAAATCCTTGATCAATTCAGCACATACACAAAAACAGTAAGATACAGACATATAAGAAAGATGACTTTCATTTCTTCACTTGAAAGTGAACCTTACAAATTAAAAACAAAACAAAATGGGATCTCTGGGTGGCTCAACGGTTTAGCGCCTGCCTTCAGCCCAGGGCGTGATCCTGGAGTCATGGGATCGAGTCCCACATCAGGCTCCCTGTGTGGAGCCTGCTTCTGCTTCTCTCTCTCTCTGTGTGTCTCTCATGGATAAAATAAATTTAAAAAAATCTTAAAAAAAAAAAACCTTTAGAAATAAAACAAAACAACAAACCAAAACATTCTTTCTGCTTCAAGAAGTTTGTCATCTCGTTGTAATTGCCCATTATGGTAGCCGCCAGTCACATATGGTTGCTGGAATTTGACATGTAACTAGTCCAAATTGAGATGTGCTGTAGGGGTAAATACACATTAGATTTCAAGTATTTACTCTGAAAAACCCTGAAAAATATCTCATTAATAATGTTAAGAATATTAATTACATGTTGAAGTGACTTTTTTTAGTGTACTGGGTCAAAAAAATTTTATTAGAATTAATTTTATGTTTATTTTTACCTTTATATAATGTACTATTAGAATTTTTAAATCCCTTATGTGGTCCTCATTTGTGGCTTGCATTATGTTTCTATTAGACAGTCCTGAACTAAAGCACCAAAATGTAGTACACAACCATTAGTACTCAAATGAATTTTTTATAGCGTTTTGAAGGAGAAAACTATCATTTTGGCTTTCACTTATCAAAAAACTTCCCTGGCGATGAAGGAAGGATCAATGCTAGCAATACTAGAACGAAACAGAATGAGAATAGGAAGTTGGGAGAATAGGGAACATCACTGACTTCAAGGAGAAGAAATGCCTAATATAGAAGAGGTTTGTTGGGCCTCCCAGGTGGCTCAGCGGTTTAGCACCACCTTCGGCCCAGGGTGTGGTCCTGGAGACCCAGCATTGAGTCCCACGTAGGGCTCCCTTCATGGAGCCTGCTTCTCCCTCTGCCTGTGTCTCTGCCTCTGTGTCTCTCATGAATAAATAAATACAATCTTTAAAAAAAAAAAAGGTTTGTTAGTTGAATGACTTCCAAAAAATGTTTGCCTCCAAAGCTTGTACTCTACTATTACCGTAAGTTATTCTTTTTATATTCATATTCTCTTAATACTTTCTTTACACAATGCCATTCTAGTTGGGGATTCCCTATCTACAACTTTGTTAGAATTTTCTACATATGTACTGATCATATTTTTTGTTAGGGCATTTTCCTACATTGATGTGGTAATTACTACATTATTCTCATCCTGTTCAAAGACATCTACAGTGATTCAAATGTGGGGAATACATTTCAGAGCAGAAGTTATCTCAATCCAGCAGTTATCTTTCAAACAATATTTGTCTTCATGTCAACTGAGCTTCCCTGACCCACCTGAAAAGGTCACTTTTATCAGTAGAGATAATTTGCATATTTTTCTTTTGAAGTTGGATGATTAGCTTATTTCCTGAGGAATGTTACAGTGCATTTGTGTTCTCTGCTTTATCATTATAGATCACTTATCACTTGTGATTTTTCACTCTGTCATGAACTATGAAAAACAATTACAGTGTTTATTAACTGAGTAGCTCTGTGGAAGGTAAAAGAAACTACTAAGGTGGGAGTCAGAGCTTTCTTTACAATAATTAAGAAATGGTAGAAGGAAGAGAAATGGGGGATATTAAAAAAAAATCCAGAAACAATAGAAAGTAGCAGTCCTTTTAGCCATTGACAGTATTAAAAGATAATATTAGGGAAAGGTTGTGAAAGCTTTTACTTTTACATTCTATCAACTGTATAAGGGCTGTTGTTGGGGCCAAACACATTAATAATCACATTAGGGATGTGCAATTTAGCAGTTAGGCCAGCGATAAGCAAATAGTAGGTGTTCTATCAATGCTTGTTAAATAAGTGAGAAAATCCATGACTTATGGTTCTATTTCCTACTTCTATTTTCAAATCTCATCACTTATCAGCATAAGATGTTCTGGTCTCATTACTAATATGGCTGGCTACTTTAGGAAGATAGTAATTTGTCCTTTGTTCTTACTTGCTATAGATGTTTTTTTCCCTTTCCCAACTTGAGGATGAAACCAGATCTTGCATTTCTTTCCTTGCCTACGTGCCTTTTATGTTATGGGAGGCAGTAGCAGTTGCTAGGCAAGAGAACACAAGTCCCTTCTTTTTTTTTTTTTTTTTTTTTTGGTAATAGCCTTGGCTCGGTAAGAATTATGTAGAAAGTGGTAGAGGTAAGTGCTTGAAGTTTAACAAGAGAAAGCTGTGGAGTCCAAAGGGAGAGGAAGATTCCTGAGACTAAGAGATGGGTCATGAAGAGTTTCCATCAAAGTAAATCTCTTACTTTTAAAATGAAATAAAGAAACTGGAACTATAAAAATATCTAGGTCTGATGATGGTAGAGGTTAAAAAAAAACAAAAAACAAAAAACGAAACATGGCTGCATGGGTTCTCTAGTTATTCCCCATTATAGAAGTTGTGGGGAAAATGACCTGAGCTATAATTGCAGTGGTTGATATTACATTTTCTGAGAATGAAAGAAACTGTGTCAACACAGTTTCAACACAGTTCTGTATATGTATGTGTGTTAGCATACATACACATACAGAAATCTGTTAGCTACCAAACACTGTGTAGGACGTTCTTTTCAGGAATGTGTACGTGTTTGTATTACACCTACTTAAAGGCTAAAGAAATAATTTATTTATACCTTCTAATTAGGTCTTACTTCTTAACAATCATCCTACATGATACTACTTCTAGTTTAATTGTCCTCATTATCCAGTCTTCTTTAATCCATGTCTCTGTCACACACTGTAACCTTTTGCTCTTTGCAGGCAAAAGGCTGATTGGAGTTTGATTTCTTCTTTCTTTCTGAACATCCATGCCAGAGAATACAACTATCCTTTGTGAAAGAGCCTCTTTCGAGCCAAATGAGAAGCCTGCACTACAACGAGGAGTCAGGAGATCAGGAGACCTGACCAAGTAACCTGGGGTTCATTCATCAGTCCCTGGGTCACTGTAAGTTCAGACCCTGCTCCAGACAGGCTAAAAGAGAAGGGAGTGGATGGGGTGATGTCCACACGGTGAAAGCCTGTCTTTTGAATGAGGCATCACTGAGAGATACTGCATCACAGGAGGTCAGTCGGATGTGTCCACCCTCCTTCAGCCATCTGTTCAGATGTTCCGATAAGGGTCTCTCTGCCAGCAGGGCCCGTGGCGGAGGAGGGTAAACAGCAGCACCACAAGGACACCAGACACCAGGCAAAAGGCAACAGCAAGGACGACTCTTAGAACTGTGGAAAAATTGCAAGAGCATTAATGTAAAATTAATGGATTAGGAAAGTATAAAGATTGTAAAATTAATAGATGAGGAAAATAGGAAGATCATGCATCATCAGTGCCTTAATTGTAAACTTTCAGTGACATTTCTGAAGGAACCTTGAAATCAGCATAGTGTATTGATAAGATTACTAGACTAGAGTCAGGAGATGACCTAGGTTCTGGTTCTGGCATGACATTTGACCTTTGGGCCTCAGCTCCACTATAAAGGGAGAGTAACTGAAATCTTTCTTTCTTTTTAAAAAAGATTTATTTATTTAGGGGTGCCTGGGTGGCTCCGTTGATTGGGCACCTGCCTTTGGCTTGGGTCATGATCTCAGGGGTCCTGGGATCTGGCCCCCTGTTGGGCTACCTGCTCAGCAGGGAGTCTGCTTCTCCCTTTCCCTCTGCCTCTTCGCTCATGCTCTCTCTCTCAGATAAATGAATGAAATCTTAAAAAATCTTAAAATGAATGAAATCTTACTTATTTACTTGAGAGAGACAGACAAAGAGACTACAAGCAGGGGGAGGAGCAGAGGGAGAGGGAAAAGCAGATTCCTTACTGAGCAGGGAGCCTGACGCAGGGCTGGATCCCAGGAACCTGAGACCATGACCGGAGCCAAATTTAGATGCTTAAGCTACTGAGCCCCCAGGCACTCCACTTTTTTTTTTTTTTTGACTGAAGTATTTCTAAGGTCCTTTCCCAACATTAACTTCATGCATTTTTATACAATTAAAATGATCGATTGTTTATGGTCTCAAGGTCAAAGGAAAAACCATCATTAATTGGGTCTAAAAGAAATTGAATATCATCTTTTAGTTTCTGGATTTGATTTCTAGTAAATATCTTTTAGATAGGAAACTTTGAGCACATGTCAACAATGGTAAGCATTTTTAGGATAACTGTGTACTACTGCCAATCTGTACCTTTATTTGCACATATCCCTTTGATAGCTGACCAATCATGGGGAGATATATGGGGTTATTTTTTATGAGATGCTATTCATTATTTCATCTGGAGAGTTACACTACACACACACCCTAGTCCATGATACTGTATACATCATAAATATCATGTTGTACCATCTCTAAATGTATGTCTGATCTTCATTGTAAAAATAAAGAATTGCAAAAATAAATAAATAAAGAATTGCTTGTTGGCTTAGGCAGTGGGAGAGCAAACATATCTCTGATCCTGGCAGCTCTGTCTACAGAAGCCCTAGTGCTCCATGGAACACAAGTGAAAATCACTTATTTAACCTAAACTTATTGTTGTAGAGATGAAAAAAAAAGTAGAGAGATTAGATAATTTGGTTAAGGATAAGAAGATAATTAATTGTATTTGGACTGGAATATGTGAGCTTATCAGTCTCATGATTTTAAAAAACATCTGTTCACTAATGACTTCCAATTTGAAATCTTCCCCAAACTCAAGACTCATATATCCAAATACTTGACATATTTCCTTGGATACATTTCAATGGGCATTTCAATCTCAATAAGTCCAAAACTCAACTCCTAGTTCCCTTGTGCCCTCCCCTTCCCCAAACTATGTTCTAACTGCAGTCTTCCCCATTTCAGTTGATGGAAACTTTCTTCTTCTGGTGTCTCAGTCCCAAAGTCTTGGAATTTTCCTTGACTCCTCTCTTTCTCTCACATTCTGTTATCAATCTGTCAGGAAATCCTATTGGTTCTACCAAAAACTATATTCCAGAAACCAATGACTTCTCCTTTTCTCTACCATCACCTTGTTCTGAACCATGATCATTTTTTGCCAGAATTGCTAAAACATTCTCCTGACTTGTTCCCTAGCTGCTGTCCTCTCTCCTCTACAGTCTATTTTCAACACAGAAGCCAAATGACTTCAAGTCAAATCATGATACTCCTCTACGTAAAGTCTGCAATGAATGTTCATCTCATTCAGAATGAAAGCCAAAGTCCTAATGATAACAGTTTGTGAAGCTCTACAACATCTGGCCTGATTTACCTCTTAGATTTCCTCTCCTACCACCCTCCTTTACCCTCCTACCACCTTCACTTACTCTCTTTTGGCCACACAGGCCTTCCTGTTGTTCCTTAGACATGCCAGGCACACACCCATTTATTGCCTTTGCTATAGTTGCTACAGTCACCTAGATGCTCTTCTTATGAATCTCTGCTTTAGGTAACTCCATCACTTTTTTGCCCAAATCTCATCTTTTATCTATTTTATCTATTTATTAATTTATTTTGTGAGAAAGAGAGAGTGAGCAGAGGGAAGGGAAGAAGGAAAGAATCTGAAGAAGACTCCCCCTGAACATGGAGCCCAGTGCAGGGCTTGATCCTACAATCCTGAGATCATGACCTGAGCTGAAATCAGGAGTCAGACACTTAACCAAATGAGCCACCCACGGGCCCCTCAAATCTCATCTTCTCAGTGAGGGTTTTCTATTTAAAGGTGCAACCAATATGCCCTTTTCCCACACTCACCACCAGCTTGGCACTTGGGATCCTCACCTTCCAAAGTATTTATTATGTTTATTATTTATTATCCATCCCTCTCTCCCTCTAATAGAATGTAAGTTTCATGAGGGCAGAAATCTTTGTCTCTTTTGTTCATGAATGTATTCCGTACTTAGAATAGTACCTGGCACATAGCAGGTGCTCAATAAATATTTGTGGAAAGAATTAATAATCTAGAACTCACAGGTTCTCAATTTGTAGTTCAGTGCTTTTCTCATGATGTCAGAATGCCTCTTAGCATCATGAGAAGGTGATTATTAATAAAGTTAGATCCTGGTGGACAAGTGCCATTACCACTGTGAATGGAGTTAATATAAAGGTGGAGGGAACTGAACAGACTTGAGGAAGGAAGGAAAGAACTAAATGGAAATGAGGGAAGAAAGCAGAGACTAATGATTCTTTAAAATTAATGTTCATGGATGACTTTCTATATTTGGAAATTTATTTTCAATTATTTTTTATTGGCTATGTTGTCATAGTGGTCCCATGGAATATGCTTTCCCAATCTTTTTCCTTCCTTCATTCTTTCTTAGACATGCAGTGGGCATACACCATAAGCTAGGGTAGCTATTGGCCTAAGCCAGTGTTGGGTTCTGGGGTTCCATAATCCCTGCTTTTGGAATCATCAATATCTAGTGGGAGAACCAGATAGACAATTATGAGATCATGTGAGAAATAGTAAAATAAAAGTGTAGCAGACCTGCTATTGGAATGGAGAAAAAGTTGAGATTAGTACAAAGCTTTCTTTTTAGAAGAGAAAGAGGTTAGAAAGCCTTCTGAGAAAATGCTAAGATTTGAACTGGCCTTTGAAATAAATAAGACAGAATGAGTTGCACAAGAGTGTGTTTGGGAAATAATGAGAAGTTGCATGTGGCTGGAATATAGCTTCTGGTGAGTTGAGACCAGATAGGTAGGTTGGGGCCTAGGTCTTAGAAGGTCTGGTTTGTCATGGGACATGTGAAAATCAGCAGCAATTATGACACATGGAAGTGACATGGCCCAATTTGTGTTTAAAAAAAGAAAATAACTGCAGGGAAAGACAGGATGGTGGAGACACTATGGGCTTGGTAACTATAGAAATGTCTTTGACGAGATATGGAGGGCTCAGCACTGGAAGTGTCGTCCTGATAGTGTGGATGAGGGAATTCTAGTGTACTCCCGGAGGAGAATTGACAGGCTCTGGGATGCACTAAATGTGCTGGGAAAGCAGAAATGGAGAGTCACAGCCACCCATGGGTTCTAGTTTGGGTGAAGATGATTAGGCTATGAACTGAGATTGGAGGCATATTAAAAGGATGACTTTGGAGTGGAGGAGATAATAAATTTCATTTAAATTTAGGATTGAAATGGGTTCTTATCCTCATAGAAACAACACGGGGCAACTGCAAAACACAGGTCTAGAATTCTGTATGGATTGTGGGTGTAGGAGAGGGAGGCCTGTGTAAAATTGGTTCATGGTGAGGGTGGAGTGAGGGCACCAGAGACAATGCACTAGGACAGGATCATTTAGGGGGCTGGAGGAGGTGGGAGTCTGAGCATATAGAAAAGACTCAGGAGGGCACCTGGGTGGCTCAGTCAGTTAAGCTTCTGCCTTTGACTCGGTCATGATCTCAGGGTTGATTGAGTCCTGCATGGGGTTCCCTGCTGGGCAGGGAGTCTGTTTGTCCCTTTCCCTCTGCTCCTCCCCCTGCAGCTCACTCAGTCCCAAATGAATAGATACAATCTTAAAAAAAAAAAAAAAAAAAGACAAGACTCAGACTCAGGAGAGATTCTCTCTCTTAAGATTCTCTCTCTCCTTAATTTTTAAAATTAGACACTCCTTTGTAGTCTGAAGGATTTTGTGAGTTTGACAGAGTAAGATTCTAGCATCTGAGAAAAAGGAGTGATCAGTTTTATCTTACTGTGAAGAGACAGGGCTGGTAATGACTGACAAACCCTCTTCCATACAGGAACACGGGAAAACTGCTAAAGGCAGTGTGAATTAGCACTTTTTTAAAAAATATTTTATTTATTTATTCATGAGAGACGAAAGAGAGAGAGAGAGAGAGAGAGAGAGAGAGAGAGAGAGAAGCAGGCTCCATGCAGGGGATGTGGGACTAGATCCCAGGGTTGCAGAATCATGACCTGAGCCAAAGGCTCATGCTCAACCACTGAGCCACCCAATGCTCCTTAGCACAGTGTTTTCTGAAAACTATTTTGGCACTAAGTATTAAAAGCCTCTTCCTCTTGCTGTTACTCCCTCTTCTTCCTCTTTCCCTTTTGAGTAAGTCTGCCTTCCTACTCATCCTTGGATTACTGCAACCAGCCTCCCAGCCATCCTCCCTGCCCTCAGGCTCACTGCTCTCCAATCTGTTCTCCCCACGGAGGGCAGAGGGCTTTCTAAAATAAGAAGCCAGTCCCATCATATGTCCTCTGCCGAAAACCTTTTTTTTTTTTAAAGGTTTTATTTACTTGAGAGTAAGCGAGAGGAGCA